AAATTACTTGGCTTTAGTAAAAATGTTTAAAGAATTATGCAAGAATACCATGGTTATGAGAAGTTGGTAAAAATAAGATTTAAGTTTTAAGTCTCAAGGTTTTTTAATAGTAAGATAAGATTAAAATAGTTTAAGGTAATGTAACGACAGAATATTATGAAATATGGAAAATGAATGTTAGAATGATGTTGGATAGAATAAATGATTTTTAGCTGAAATATTATAAGGGAATATGAAAAATGGATTACTAACAGGTAAAAATTTAATGTTACAATACTTTAAGATTAAAGATTAGGATAATCAAAGAGGGGAAGGATTTGCTGAACCAACAAACTGAACTGGAATACAAAAAAGGGAGGCGTGAGGAGGTCCGGGAAACAAGCTAATGAAAAATAAGTAATGGAAAGATTGAGTTGTTTTTAACTATTTTTATTTTGTATTTTTCTTTTTTCTATTTTTATTTTATTTATCTATACCTACGCCTACCTATACCTATTATTATTATTATTATTATTATTATTATTTTGTAATACTTTGAAAACCTTAATAAATATCTTATAAAAAAAACCAAAATATTATTTATGATTAAAAGTCATATTAGTTCAATCTTTTTTGTTTTAATTCCTGGATGCAGCACAGATCCATTCCTGGAAAAACCAGGCTAGCTTCCTGGTCAGGTAATGGCCCTCTAAGTTTGGGCCATTAAGGTAACAAAGCCAGTGTCTCTGTGTCAGATGGCAAATGGGTGGGCTTCCCTCCATCAACCCACTAGTAGAAATAAAAAGGCCTGAGTTGGGATCTTAAAAAAAAAATTTTTTTTTTAAATGATTCTCTTGGTTTACAAAAGTACATGCCTTGTCTCTTTTTTTCAGGTTGTACAGCCTTTCTTACAAATCAGTTACATTTGTTGTGAGTACAGTACAGTGGTACCTCAGGTTAAGTACCTAATTCGTTCCGGAGGTCCATACTTAACCTGAAACTCTTCTTAACCTGAAGACCACTTTAGCTAATGGGGCCTCCTGCTGCCGCTGCACCGCCGGAGCACGATTTCTGTTCTCATCCTGAAGCACTATTTCTGGGTTAGCGGAGTCTGTAACCTGAAGCATATGTAACCTGAGGTACCACTGTATAAGGTTGGGGAAGACGAGGTGGGGAAAGGAGGGCTGGGGTGGAGAAGCTTATTTTCTTTTGTATAGTGTGCATGTGGGGTTTTGTGTCAGCATCACCTGGGTACATTCTCTTTCTATTTGTTATTACATTTCCTTGGTAGTGAGAGGTATTGGGGGGCAGGGGGTGGTTGGTTGCCTGTGGTTGGTGGCTGTGGGGTTTGTTTGCATTTGTGGGGGGGGGGGGGGAGAGGGCTTGTTGGGTCAAATTAGCCAGAATGATTTGTATGCTATCGGTGGATTCTTGTCGTTGTCTTGTTGGGCTGTGTGATAAAGGGGAGCCATACTGGGGTGAAGGCGTCCTCTTCTATTTTTCCCTGTGTCAGTTTCAGTCTGTTGGTTAGCTTTTCTAGTAAGGCTGTTTTCCATACGATTTGGTACCAGTGGTTCATGTTTACTCCTGATAGGTCTCTCCAGTGTTTGGCTATGAGGCTTCTGGCTGCTGAAAGCTCTTTATAATGTGAGTGGTCATTATGATCTTGGAAGAGGTTCAGTAGGGCCAGTTCTGGGGTGAAATCTGTTTAGTTATTTTGCATATCTCTTGGAGGACTGATGTCCAGAAGGGTTGGATTTTAGGGCATTCCCACCACGTCTAGAGGTATGTGCCTGTGGAGGTGCAGCCTCTCCAACATCTTGGTGAGGTTCCTGGGTGTATCAGCGCCAGTTTCCATGGTGTTGAGTACCACCCGTAGGTGAGTTTCTGAGTGAGTTCCCTTCTTTTGGCGACAAGGACTTAAAGGGAGGTTTAGACCACATTCTAGTCCATTGGGTGGGTTTAATTTCATACCCTATGTTGTGCTCCCATTGTTCTTTGATTGCGTCAAGGGGGATTTTGAGCAGTATTTTGTATATTGTGGATACCATCCTTTTGCTGTGTCCCTCTGCTGCCAGGAGAAGGTTTTCGAAGGTGGTCAAGGGCCTAGTGGTTGCTGATTTTGCCACTGGATTGTTTAAGAAGACATGTAGTTGACGATGTGTTAGCCAAGGTATTTGGGTGTCCCCTACTTTGTCTTGTATTTCTTGGGTTGGTATGGGTTTGTTGTTTTGTAGAAGTCTTTTAGACAGTGTAGGCCTTTGACTTGCCAGGTTTTTATCTGGAGGTTTTGTGCTGCATGTTGGAATCGTGGGTGATCGGCCAGAGGGGTTAGTGGGGATGGGGAGAGTTTGCCTAATTTTCCTTTCCATGCCTTAAGCCAGATCTTGTGGATACTTCAATCTTTTGAACATTTAAAAAATAATTAGGAGAGATAAGTTTGAAAGAGGGTGGGATTTTTAGAATAGCTAAAAGAAGCAGGCATGGGTTTAGAAAGGTTGTGAAACGCTGGGGAAACAGATGCCGTCTGCAAGGTCAACCCAAGTTATTTTGCCACTAGCAGCAAAACAGAAAATGGAGTTTCCCCTCCTCGTCCTTTGCAGTCCACCCCCATTTCGACCCCCAGCTGCCACACCTCCTTCCCCCCACGGCCTGAGGGAAGCCCCATCCCACGGAAGGCAGTGAGCAATGAAGAGGCAGCCCCAGAGGAGCCGGCGGAGGCAGCGCTGAGCAGCCCGAAGGCAACTGCTTCCCCCAGCCTCATGGCAGGCCACCCTTGGCGGTCTGCTTCTCATTTCCAAAGAAATGTATTTGTTTAAAGAAAATCCCCTCACACAAAATTTCCGCAAGTCAAGGGAAATTTCTCTCCAGTCTATGTACGAGAGCTGCCCCTAAGCAAGGTGGAGGGAGAAGGCGGGGGTGGCAGGGGGGCAGGTTTCACACTGAGGCTCTGAATATTACACATGGCTAGATTACACCAAATAGAGTCATGCGGTTTTCTTTTAACCCCACGGCTCCCCCCTGTGGTAGTCGCAAGAAAGCCAAGGAAGCTAAACAGCCAAGACTCTTGTGGCCCCTGAAAGACTAAGCCCGTGGTTCCTAGGCGCTGCTCCAGCCACCACGCCATTCCCCATGAAGGGGCCAGGCAGCCACAGCTTTTTGCACCAGGGGCGCGCACGCCGAGGAGGGTGGGACACAGAGGGAGCTGCTGCGCCCCGCCCCACCCCAGTGAGAAGGCTGCCTTGGCAGCATCCTTGCACAGTGCTGCCTAGTCGAGGGGAGGGGCAGCCGCACAGCCACAACTCTCCTCCTTCTCTCCCCCTCTCGGGTCACGCCTGACCCAGGAGCGCAGCTGCGGCTGGGCCTGAGGGAGCGGGCAACTCCCATGCGTGCAGCCCTGTGCTGGAGAGAGGTGGGGTGGCAACAGGGCTGCCGCTGCCTCTCCTCCTCCTCCTCTCAGGGCAGGGCAGGAGAGGAACGCCTTGGCCGCAGTGCTGCCGCTGCCGCCTCTCCTCCCCTCCGGCCCTGGGTCAGACCTGACCCACAGCGGAACTGCTGCTGGGAGCGAGGAGGCAGCCTCCAGGGACGGAGCCGGGGGGTGCCTGATCACACCATCTCTCCAAATGCGTGTGATGTCAGCTCATGCCGTGGATGTGTCGACATCAGGCGTCCACAGTCCCTTGCTCCCTTGACCATCCACAGTCCTTCCATGGCTGCCACGCGCACTGCAGGCATGGAAATGGAGATTTCCCCGTTCTGCCCCATTCTGCCCAGACCCCTTTTGGCACCATTTTCGGCACTTGTGTAAGTGGGAACACGCGTCAATGGCAACACAAGCCACTGCTCTCCATGTGGCAGCCCCAACCTGCCTTTCACAAAATTAGTGTGCACATGGGGGTGGGGGCTGGAGAGGGCAAAACAAGATTAAGATCAGAAGCAGAAATATTTTGTTACTGCCAGGGGAAGGAAAGCAAGAAACACACAACACATATGCAGACATGGTCCTTTCCTGCAAGGTTCCCTCTGTCCCCATAAAGCTGGGTGACTGTTAAGGAGGAGCAGGGATGCCTATGTTTTCAATTAAACTGTTCAAGATGAGGTTTAAACTCTGCTCAGCACCGTGCTTTTAAATGCAAGTGGTAAGCTTATCCTTTTGACTGATACCTCACACACATGGGCCTGTAGGGTGATAAAATATAGTTCATCATATTCCCACACCTACCTAATACAACCCATCAGCCATTGTCACCAAAATGCTGGACAATGAGAGCAGATCTACTTCTACAGAGCAGCTGCCCCCGTATTTAACTCTGGCAACTCCAAAAGGGAAAGATTAAGAAATGTAGTTTTTCTACAAGCAAATGTAGTTGTTATGTACTGAAGTTCTCACCCTGGGCCAGCAGGGGGATACTGTAGATAGTTTTCACTCAGGTCCACATATGCAAATAAGGGATTGAAAGTGACGTTCAGTGATTGGATAGTTACAGAAAATGGTTACTGTTGTGTTCTAGTGGAGCTCTATATAAGCAGGCTGGCTGAACCCTTCAGTTCAGTTCTGTTCTGGCCTGTGAATAAACAAGAGCTGTTTGAAGAATCACTGTGTCGTCTGATATGTTCACCCACAACGTAACAGTAGTCTTTCTGTAAACAAGCCAAAGACTTAAAATTCAAGGAACAGGCCAGGAATATCCCAGAGGTTTCCAGGCCCCCATGGAGCCTGTGGTTTAGAGCTTCGCCTGCATTAACCTCAGAGAGGGATGCATGCCCAGCAGCCTTTTTCAAAGACAGTAGAAATGCGCAGCCATAAACACTCCTTTCCCCAAGCACCAAGATTAGCCTATGTCTCTAGACAGGTGAGAGAAAGTGGTTCCGTGGGTGTCCCTTTTCCAAGATGGGGAAGGGTATCATGAGCATCTGCTTATCTACAGGGTCTGGTGGCTCCTCCTCTGAGACATGCTTCAGAGGCAAAACTTGCTGTTGCCAAGCTCAAGGGCAGGCATCCCCCTTAGGGAGATTTGTACGGGTGGCATACCGAAGCCTTTGTCATTTAGTACTCAGGCATGAGGCAAGCTTACCACTATATACCAGTTGGAAACGTTTAACCAAATAAATGATTTTATTGGGAGAAAGGTGGGCAGAGAAGGGCTGCTGAACCCCAAAATCTGCACCAAGGAAAGTTACATTCAGCAACCTGTATAAATGCATAAATGGGGAGGGGAGCAAAATTTATCTTATTTTGCATAATTTATTCTGGTGCTGCAAATCATAGGGAAGGTCTCCCCACAGCGGCTGGGATTTTTAATCAAACCAGACTAAGCTTCTGAGATTTCAATGGACATTTTCCACATCCTTAAGGGGTGAAAACTTGATCCCCTCACCTTTGATTAATACAAAGATTCTTTTCTAGCTGAATTCCATGTCTGATACCATATTCTATATGTTTTCTCTGCCAGAGCTCTAAGATCCACTCCACCTGCTCTAAAGGTACCTGGCTGTTCACCAGGGGTGTGGGAAGGGGAGGCAGTGAGGGCGGCTCTCCCTGAGTGTCATCCCTGGGGGAGGGGTGACAAAATCCCCCCAGTGGTGATCCACTGCGCGGATCGCACCCCCTGGGCGGGATGCTCCGCCCCCTGGTGCACGGCATGTGCGCTGCTCTGGCTGCCCGAGCGGCTAGCTCCACCATTGCTCTTCGCAGCAGCAGTCCCTGATTTTGTCTACAGCTAGTAGCAGATTAATGGAATTCATGTGCTTTCAGGCTATCATCCAGTTCTGCCGAGTGCTGCCATATCCTGAATCACAGTAAATTATACCCTCTCTTGGTTGCTTCTGTGGGGGCTTGCTAAGAAATGGATCTTTTAGCTGTCTCCATTGTGCCAAGAACAGTCTCTTTGAGACTTTGAGCTTTCTTCCCCAATGATCATCTTCTTTTTAGGCAGTAGCAAATGGTGCCCAAGATGCCCAAGACCAACACCGGCACGATCACCCAGACTGCAACCCAGCTGCGAGGCGCCTCTGCAATAATAGAAGACAGCACATTAGGTAATGGATGTAATGGGTGCCTGAATCCAGATTTCTGCATTGCAGGGGTTTGAGCTGGATGACTCTCAGTGTCCCTTCCAACTCTACCATTCTATGATTCTAGGATGGAATTTGGCTGCAGAGGAAGAAGTGCTCAGTGAGTGGGGGACAAGCAGCAAGAAGGGCTTGTGCACTGGAAAACAGGCTGCTGCAACAGATGGACCCTGGGGCACAACCAGCCATGGAGAAATTCTGCATGAGCCTAATTGAAACCAACAGGATGTAGGAAGTATGCAAGAGCCATTCAGTGCCTCACATTTCAGATCTCCTGTTCAAAACAGTGGCAGTGGTTGAGAGCGCCGCCTTCCCGCTGTTCCCCAACCTGGTTTGGAGGCTGGCGGTGGTGAGAAGCGCTGCTTTCCCCACCGCCAGCCCCACAAGCTGGGGGGACAGCGGGGAGGCAGAGCGTCGCCTTCCCGCTATTCCCCGACCTGGTCTTTGGGGCTGGCGGTGGGGGAAAGCAGCGTTTCTCCCCCCCCAGCCCCAAAGAGCAGGTCGAAAGGAACCCAAAGCCTCCAGAGCCCAGCGGGAACTCCCGCCGCGCTCCTGAGGCTTCGGGTGAACGCACCTTGAACGCACAGAACGCACCTTGACTTAGAGGGGGAGAACAAGAAAAAAAATTTTTTTCCCCTCTTCTCTCCCTCCTATGGTCCGGTGCGTCCTATGGTCCGGTGCGTCCAATAGAGCAAAAAATACGGTATGTCTTCTTTGCTGCCTTCACTGCCACTAGGTAGGCTTCATAATGAGCCCTTACCAGTGTTTGGTTGCATTCATTTGGATCTTCCCTCCATTTGTGTTCAAGTCGTCTTCCAGCTTGTTTCCTCGCCCTAAGCTCTAGAGTGTACCAGGAGACCAGTTGGGCTCCACGAAGTGGGAGAGGGTGCTCAGGGGAGTTTGTGTCAATAGCCCGACCCATTCGGGTGTTCCAGAAGTCAGCCAGGGCTTTGACAGGGGCACCAGTCATATCAGCCGGAAAAATCCCCAGAGCCACTGGGAATCCCACTGGATCCATCAGCCTCCATGGGCGGACCATCCTAATAGGTCCCCCACCTGTGCAGAGGGAAAAGGTGCTGGCATCCTAAATCTCAACAGGAAGTGATCTGAACATGACAAGGGACTGATGTCGATGTCCACCCCCCATCACCCTCTTCCTGCCCAGTCAAGAAAACAAGGTCCAGAGTGTGGCCTGCCATGGGCGTTGGGCCGGTGACATGGTGGGACAGCCCCATGGTTGTCATGGCTGCCATGAGGTCCTGAGGCGCCCCAGAGCCAACTGCCTTGGCATGGATGTTGAAGTCTCCCAGAACCACCTAAAAGTAGGGCCCATGTGCCCAGGAATCATAGGACCAGCTAGTAGTCAGGCTTCATGTGCCTTCGTGCCCAGGAGATCAAAGGACCAGCTGGGAGGGCAGAGTTAGTGCAAGGCCTGAAGATGCTTCATGGAGAAGCTCCCAACAATTCCTCACAACATACCCTCCAAGTGTCCCAATTTTATGGAGGCAGTCCTGGAATTACCATCCTGGCTTTTGTTTTGATCCCGGAATGTCCTGGAATGTCCCTGTTACCCCCACCAGCACCACCAGCACCAAGCCTGAGGAGGAGGAGGAGCTTGTCGCGAGTGATGACGATGGTGGCAGTGGCAGCTGCGAGGGAGCATCCCGTTGCCTCTCCATGCCCATCGCTGTCGGCCTCCTCCTTTGGGCAACTCATAGCAGCTACTGGAGAGCAGGCGAGGAGGAGGAGAGGCTGCCCCCGCCAAGGCCCAGGCCTAGCCCCGTGGGACGTGCAGGCTCTGAGGGGCAGGCAGAAGAAAGGGGGGAGCAGAACGCAATTGGTCTGGATTTTAAAAAAAAATGCTTTGTGCATCTACATCTAATTTTGCCCCTTTCTAAAATGTATTTATGGCTGTGTGTTTTTCTTTTTGTAAATCTACCAAAGAATAAAATAATATAAAACAAAATTGGGATTAAGGTGTTTTCTCAGGACGGTGAAGGGCCTGTGTGCTGTGTCCTGTGGGTGTAGCCGTGGTGGCCCTTGCCTTTCTTCTGACAGGAAATGGGGGGGTCAAGTCCAGTCAGTTGGGGAGGAGTGGGAAATGTCCCTATTTTCATCTGAGGAATGTTGGAGGGTATGCCCACAGGGCAGCAATGCACAGATTCTTCACTGTCTCACACCACCTCAGAGTGATGTAGCTGAAGAGATGGCATTAGGATGCATCCACATGAAGCTGTTTAAACAATACGTCTTCAGCCGAATGTGTTTTCTTTTAGGGAAAATTATCCTTAACTTCCAGTTTGGTCCTTGAACATTCCTTGCAAAGGTTCCCCCTTTCTTTCCATTTATATCAGCCTCAACTGTGGAGGAGTAATGAAGTGCAGCCCATCACCTTTGAATTTTTCTTAGTCTTATCAAATCTGAATTGATCTCCTGTCAGATCCCCCAAATAGTTCTCCACGCATCCTGACTTCAAATTCTCTTTCAGGATCATATACAGTGGTACCTCGGGTTACAAACAGTCCTGCTTACAAACGCTTCGGGTTACGAACTCCATAAACCCGGAAGTAGGTGTCCCGGGTTGCGAACTTTGCCCCGGGATACGAACGCAATCCGCTTCCGGGGCCGTGGGAGGCCTATGTAGGGAATGCGCGCTTCAGGTCAATAACGCTTCGGGTTAAGAACAGACTTCCAGAACGAATTAAGTTCGTAACCCAAGGTACCACTGTATGGTGAAATTTCAATTCCTAGTCTCCTGAGAAACCAATAACTTGAGATTCTTTGAGATGGGTGTGTATTTTAGGATGGATGGTTCTCATCCTGTACAAGTTTTCACCAGAGTCTACACAGTTTTCATTGGCATCACAATAGCAGCTCATATTCTTCCCTCATTTAATCTGAGTTTACCCATTCTGGGGGAAATTAAATGAGTTAAAAAAGCAACCATGACAGGTATCAATGGCCCATTTGTGACATTTCACAATTGCAAATAAAGTCCCGTCCTTGGATGAGGAAGGACGTTGAGAAAGTGCTACACTGGGGGAAGGGGGAGACTGGAAAGAAAGTCATATGCAACCTACCTTCATACAGAATGTCAACCTCTGTCGAGCCATCACCATAGACATTATGTACTAGACATCGGTAAGTCCCATTGTGGTATTTTTGCGCTGAAGGGATTGTGATGGTCTTATTGTTATCTGAGTACTCCACGCCAGTCTGGGAGGGGAGATCCCATGAAAACTCTGGAAAGGGCTTTCCCTCTGCATGGCACTTCACCACAAGGGCTGCACCAGTTTTGTACACCGTGAAATTTGTTGAGATGTTCACATTGTATGGACTGGCTGCAATAAGAAAAAACAATGTTTGATGAGTTGCAGAAGCCATCAGCCACCTGCAAACGATATACAAATGGTCCTTGCTTTACTATGAACACTTTTCTATTCCAATCCTCTTTTAATTAAACTAAAGTGTTCTTTGAAAAATAAAAAAAAAATGTTTTATGCTTGTTCTGATTATGCTTTAATTTGTTATTAAATAAAGCACTATGACGGGTTTTATTTTGTTAGCACTGCTGCTTAGATTTTGTAAATATAGTTAGATTGCAGTAGTGAAATAGTTTTAAAATTACTGTCATTGTTTTGAGTGATCTTTGTAAGCTGCTTTCAGAAGGCTCATCATAAAAAGTGTGATATAAATGGGTAAACAAATAAATCATAAAACCTAAAACAGCTGTGAGTGACCCTAGAGAGCCATAGACAGATGCTATTCCAGTCACAGCACCAGAAGCCAAGCATTGCCACGCTACGATGGAGACCAAACACTCCCCAATCCCAATTACATTGTACCCAAAAAGGGATGACCGCTCCCCACATTAAATGGGGGGGCGCCCTTTGCATGGTCGCACGCAGCCCCCTGGACCCTATGCGGCACCATTAGCACAGGCTTGGCTTCACCTCCCCCCAGGTGGGATACCTGGAGGTCTCCGCCTACCTCAGTCAGTTGCCCAATCCCGCCTGGGGAGGTGTTGCCAAGGTGATCAGGCCAGGTAGGGGGAGGGACTACCTGCCCACACAATAGGGGGAGGGTCTTACTTGGGAATTGCCAGTTGGCTCCAGAGCTTCTCCCACCCTACCCACCCTCAGTTAAGACTTCTTTTGCAGGTTAACCTTTTCTCCACAGGTACGCGGGCGCTGCTAGGTCAAGGTCGCTGTTGAAGGGCCGGAAAGGAATTCTCCTGCATTGCCTTTTCTGTAGTAAAACGTCATAACTTTGGCAGTATCAGGCCTTGGGTGGAATCCTTTAGTCTATCTTTCCTGAACTGGGGGGGGGGTGCAGAAGTAACCCACACCCCCCTCCTCTTTGCGGCTGTGATACCAGGGTTGCCCGTTAAAGGGGTTGTTTGAGGGCAGGCTTTGGCCATACGCCTAAAGGTCATCATTGCTCTCCCCTGTGATGGCGGCGTAACGGGGGCCGGCTCTCTCTGCTTGAACATATGTTCTCCAGAGCCAGCCCATCCCCCCCATACACTGGATAACCCTCATGTTCCCCAGATCCCCGGCGGGGGACTGGGAGGGATAAACGCCCAATGCCTGAGCCAAGGTCTACCCACATCTGAAACATAATGAAGTTGTGGCCAATTTTAATCCCATGCCACGTTGTCTTGAGTCGTTATTCCACATGGGGGCCGCCCAGGGTTTGGGGGACTCCGCCTGTCCTCGCAAAGGAAGATTCAGCACACTGAAGCCTATTCTTGCTTAACTTTGTTGTACTCCATTACCCAAACAGAAGGATGCCCTCCAGCCTTGCAAATAAGCTGACAAAAGATAGTAGCTTTTTACTTTGGCTTCTTTTACTAGCCCCATGCCGTAGCATCCTGATCGCCTCCTGGGCCAGGCACGAACGGGGGGAGCCCACCGCTTCCACACTGCAGCCGGCTCAGTGTTGAGCCGCCTCTCCAACTCTTGCCCTGGGGGTGGAGCTGCGCAGATCGCAGCGTCGGAGGAGGGCCCTGTGGCTGCTCTCCGATTCTTCCGGGGGATGAAGCTCCCTCCACACAGCTCCCTTGTGTGCCGGATGCCATCACCAGAAAGGGGGACATAAAAAGGCTGGCCCAGGCAGGCCTTTCTCTGTCGAAGTTCCTGGTTGAGCCCCTTAAAAAATGTGCCTGGGCGGTGACCTCCTCAACCCCCCCCCCCCATGCTATGCCACTGCACTAGCCTGCTAAGTGAGCAGCCTGCGAGCTGCAGAGGAGGGGGAAATGCTTCTTCCACAGCCAGCCAGTATGGAAACACAATGTCCGAGCCTCTTAACAGGCCGATAAAATCAACACCCTGATTATAAAAAGCTCAGCAACTTTGGTCTGCCCCAGACACTGGCCGGGGTTGCTACACCGCTGCTGGTCCTCAACTCCTCCTATCAGGTAAGGAGGGTGAGCTGAGCCTGGATGGAGATGAATTCTCCCCAATCCCATCCCCTGAGAGTTGAAGCAGCTTGAAGGTGATACAAGGTGACAGCATGTTTGTCCATAATGTTCAGGCCCATCCCACAATTCTCAAACAGGTTTTGTAGAGTTTTATATTGACTCAAAAATAGACAACAATGGGACAAAAAATAAACCACAGGCAACAACAGTTTTGCTAATATTGTAATGTATAAAGCCCTAGACAGCTTAGGTAACACTTTCTCCCGTATAGTTCATTGGTGGGACCGTCTTGGTTACACCACAGCCTGCAGATGCCCTTCTTGAAGTCACCATGGAAACAGCCTTCTCAGTTTGGGCTCCCATCCAATAGTGCTTTTCCCTCCAAAGGGTACTCAAGTGTATGCAGTGCCAGCACCTTTTTTGTTGTTGTTACACTAAGTGCCACACTTTTTAACCACTACAACTTCATGGTGAGTCCTGGCACCTATTTCCCCACAAAAAAGACACTGCCCAATTCCATGGGCGTAGCTGGGGGGGGGCAGGGAAGGGCAGCTGCCTCCCCTAAATCAATAAAGATCAATAGTAATACTTAAGTAGCTGAGGTTCTCCCCCCCCCAACTAAAACCCTGGCTATGCCCCTGGCCAACCCTATGCAATAACATGCCCTTGAAGCACCAACAGCAATGTGCTCCCATCATTTCTAGAATACTTTTTTATTTACACTGGTCTTAGGGGCCCAATAAGATTTTATGTGGAATAATAGTTAGTGGTGGGTGCTTTATTATTTATTGTTTAATGGACTGACTTAAATGAATTTGTATTTCAGCTGGTTGTAAATTGCGTGGCATATAAATGCATTTTAACACGTAAATAAATAAAATACTCAGCTACAGAAGTATCCTAAGCCCTCTAGGCTAGAACAAATTGTTAGATACATGTGTGCATAAATTACTTCTAAACTGGGCCTCCCAGCCCTGAACACATGACAAAACCAATCAGATGCATAGCAAATAGAACTTACCCACAATCTTCAAGGTTCTGTTTGCACTTTTTTGCAGTACTTCTGAGCCCACCTGGAGGGTGGCTTTGCAGAGAATGACATCCCCATCCTCCTGAGGCTTAGCCAAAAAGCTGTACTCCACAGAAATGCTGCGCTCCCTCTTCAGGATATTACTGCCCTTTCTCAGGAAGATGCTGACATTAGATGGGGAGCTGGAACCTCTCACTTTCAAACTCGGGATGCTGCATACAATTTTCTCCCGGTGATTAGCCACAATCTTGGAAGTAAGGTTGAGAACTGGGGTTGAGAACTCTGGGGGAAATAAAGATATGAATGGCCACCATCTGAAATTGTAAGTGAGGACTAACTAGTAAAGAGGCCTAGGAAATCTACAGCTCCTGGCTTTCTGAAGTTGGAAATGTTAACCATCCCAGTTGTTTAAAATAAATATAAACAATTTCAGGGCAATGGGAGGGAAAACTCTGTATGACAACTGAGCATCCTAACCTAATCAAATAATGGTGGACAAGGATGAGCTCCTATTGGTTGGTTGATTGACTGACTGACTGCACTTACATACTGATTTTCAGGGCAAAGGCATTCCAAGGAAGTTTACAAAAGATAATTTATGTACAATAGAAGGACATAAACACAAGTATCAAAGGCTTCTTTTGAAAGTTCAGTTTGTTTTCAATAAAATATTTTCTTTATAGGAAACCACTACTCAAAAGTTCAGCCCAAGCCATCCTCTTGTTCCAGAGGTTGGCCAAGGCTTTGACAGGAACGCCAGTCATATCAGGCAGAAAATCCTCCAGAGCTGTCTGGAAACTACATGGATCCCACAACCTCTGAAAGTGGGTCCCCTGCCTCTACAGAGTGGGGAAGAGGCTAAAAGCCTCTTTCAGATCACCCTCTTCCTGCCCAGTCGAAAAGACAAGATTCAGAGTGTGACCTACGATGTGCGTTGGGCTGATGTTATATTGTGACAGCCCCATGGTTGTCATGGCAGACATGAAGTCCTGAGCATCCTGAAGCAGTGGCATAGCATGGAGGGGGCACGACCAGGCAGCCCCCCCATGGCAGGCTCCCTCATTGTGATGGCCCAACACCGCCAGCCACCCCAGCTCCACTCCCGGATCAGACCTGACCCAGGAGTGGATTTGCCACCCCTCTTCTTGGCTGGGCACAAGTACGCCCCCCCCCCCGCTCCACTTTGCGAGAAAAGATGCAGCAAGCTCCACGCTCCACGCTCCACCCCAGGCAGTGGTAGCATATGCTTTGCCGCTGCCCTTAAGTTATGTTAAAGTGCTCCTAGAAGGTGTTTTGTTGTAAGATTGGTGTTGCTAATACTACATGCAGCATGATTTTTGTAGAGCAGCGGAGCCGCTAAGATCATGTGCCCCAATCACCAAAATGTCTTGGGCGGGTCTTGGGTTTTCCTCCCTCTTTCCTCAGGCCTCACAGCCATGTTATGCAGCATACCATGTCTAATAACATGTGTACTCTGCTATTTTGTTTTAGGGTAGTGGGACGACATGGAAACATAGGACCTATTTCCCCCCTCGACATTATGTGTGTGAGGAAGGAGGCTAAATTACATAGCCTCCAGATGCCCTCCCCGCCATGAAATTCTGTGCATACTCACGGTAAACATAGATGACCACATTGGTGTCTAAGGAATCAAAGCCTGCTCTTTGGACTATGCATATAGGTTGAAGTTCCCATTCAGACACATTGGTGATGTTTAGAGAAATCCACCCATCGCCCTTCTGGATTCCTCCTTCAACAGACACCTCCCACTCCAACCGGGTGTAGTTAGCACATGTAGTTGTGCAGTTCAGATTCACAGAACCTCCAAATTCCACAGCAGGTGCCTCAGGGTGGATAGTCACATTGCAAGTGTCAAGGAAGTGCACTATAAGAAAGAAAGAAAAGATATGGGGAGATATCTGAGAGGGAGAACTGCACAGCGCCCCTTCAGCGAAGCTGGAGAAGGAACAGAAGGGGCTCCATTCCTCCTCCCGCTTCGCTGAAGGGGCACTGCACACCTCTACCTCTCTGCGCAGCGCCATTCGCTCCATAAGACGCACTCACATTTCCCCTTACTTTTTAGGAGGAAAAAAGTGCATCTTATGGAGCGAAATATATGGTAATTAGTTCTTTCTCATTTCTAATCAGTCCATCTAATATCTGCTTTTTCTTATTTTTTCTAATTTTCTTCTGATAGGCATTTTCTTGGATAAAAAAATCCTCTCATTACCACCTTACTAGCATCCCAGACAATCCTCCTATCAGTGTATTGATCTAAGTTTAGTTCAAAATAATCTTTCAGGGCTTTTTCTGTTTTTTGTCTTATATCCTGATTATCTAATAACTCCTCATTCGATCTCCATCTAAATGGGGTATTCCCCTCCCCTTTTTAGTTCAAGAATTATCAAATTGTGATCCAGGAGTGTTCTTGGTTGTATTTCTACTTTTTTTTTACTGTTATTGATAACGCTTTAGATAGCCATACCGAGTCTATCCTTCTGCTAGATTGATGGACCTTTGAACGAAATGTATATTCTCTATCCAGTGGGTGTTTAAAACTCCAAGTATCTGGTAAACTGAAATTCTCCATTTTTTAGAAGGTTGTGTGTAGTCTCCCTTCCTTTGAATCTGTTTTTCTTAAGATTTTATTCATTTCCAGGGAGACTACTCCATTTGTATCTCCCATTAATTAATCTAAATATAAAATTCTGATTTCATAGAATCATAGAATCATAGAGTTGGAAGAGACCACAAGGGCCATCGAGTCCAACCCCCTGCCAAGCAGGAACACCATCAGATTTCTTCTCATTCAGTGCATATATTCCAACTAAAACAATTTTTTCACCTTGTATTGTTATTTATACTACCATCATTCTTCCTTTATCATCCTTAAATAGCTGTTTTGGGTCCAGTTTGGGTTTAATATAGAAAACTACTCCTCTTTTCTTTGTAATGTCTGAGGATATAAATTCCTGTCCAATTCTCTTATTTATCAAGATTCTTCTGTGAGTAGATCTCAGTCTCTTGGGAGTTGGTTGTGCCTGCTATATTATTATTCCGTGCCAACCCATCTGGGCTGTCCTGTTTCTCACCTTATATTGTCTATTGAACCTATTGTGTTGTGCTGACATATAGTATGATGGGTGGGAGAAGAGGGGAGTTAGGGATGGGCTGAAGATTGGGTGGCAGGTTATAGAGAGTAGCCTATATGTAGCTTAATTTTTTTTTAATAAAAATGTTGAGATGTTTGGAATCTAAAAAATAAAAGGTAGAAATAAGATGATAGTGATAGTGAGAAGGCGGGTTTTTTTAAATGAGAATTTTTTTAAAAAAATTAGAAAGGGTAAAAATACAAAATATAAGTAATCATAGAAAATGTGTGAAAGGAATAAAAAATGGAAACTAATGGTACTAATAAAAAAGTGGTTCATGTATATAATTTAAAAATGTATTTGCTGTAATTTTGACTCACAAGCAGTTTTAATTTCACTGCGGGGCCCGCAGAGTCTGGATTTCAGGTCCCTGGATTAGGGCTAAGGCAGGAATCCCAGGGAGTGGCTTTCAGTGGTTCACGCCTCTTACATGGATGCCATTACAGTTTTTTGAAGAAATAATAATAAAATTATTAAAAAATATTATATATATATATATTTCCAACGGGGGGAACCCGTGCTGTGTTTTTTCCTGTGAGGTGGTCTCCAGGGTCCCAGCCTGCTATTTTTGCGCTAACCGCCAGGGAGGTAGCCTCGGGGTCAGGCCTGGGCTAGGCTGTGCAATTCGTCACGGCCTCCCTGGCCCTCCCGGGACCCTCCTATCTAAGCTGGTGCTCGGCTGGGGGGCCCCTCCTTTTTGTTTTCTGTTCAGCTCCAGAGGCCTCCAGGTCGTGGAGCTCCACTGGGCCGTTGGTGCTCCCGGTCCCAGCGGGGTTGAGGCCGCTGGAGGAGCTGGGGGCTCCATGCAGCCTCCCTGGCTGTCGCGTTGGGCACCTTGGTCCCCCCCCCCATCGCAGTAGTGGCGGCGGCAGTTGGCACGCGGACCAGCCAGGCAGTGCAGCTGGTGCTGGTGGTCCTCAGAGGGGCTTGCCATCTTGCTTCACCAGAAGTCCTGAGTGGGGAATTTGAGTTATGTGAGCTAGAAACCAGAAGCTGGAAGCTGCAGGCCAGGCAGCTGCGAGAGGCAGAGCCTTGCCTGATTTCTGTTGGAATCCAAAGCTATGGCCAGGAGAGAATGCTCTGTTGGAGTGTTGATGCTGTGAGCCCCACCATCATAGTTTCAGATCGTATATATATGTAAATTAACCATATATCAAACAGATGACACAAAGCCTCATTACAAAACAAAACATGAACCCTAGGTCAGCACCTGGAACCTCTGGAATCTTGCACCACCAGAGATTTGGGTGATGTGCAGCAGTAGGGACTTTTATCTGGTAGAGATGCCTAGTCCCCTTCCCCTCACTACAGTTCTCATGTTTCCTTTGAAGTACGAGTACCTGTTAGATAATTTATGGCTATAAAAAAAGATTTAACAGAGTCCAGACACAAATAGGCAGCCAATGAAGTAGAAAAGAGGACTGGACCTGTTCCAGTGGCTCAGCCTAAGGCTAAGAATGCAAATCTCTCCCACACCTTGTGATTGAAGTATGTATCTATCAGCTTTTCATTTTTCCAACCTTAAGTTCAGTTTTCCAAGTTTCCAAATCAGTTTGCAATATTAACAATAAAGACCTCATGATAATTCACCAGTATTTTTGTGTGAATATCTCCAGTCAGATATATTAGACATGTACAATAACATCATACAATACTACAAAAAATACTATAAATATTTTTTATGTAATTTTGCCTAATATACATATTTTTGAAAAGCAGTTCCCCCTAATATGCCTCTGGGGTGTTAGGTGAGGGGCAGTATGTTGGGGGGAAAGCATATTGCCTGAAATAGTCAAAAGGCAGGAGTCTTGAAACTGCATATGAAAAAGACACAGCAGCTTAGCTTGGCTTGCTCAGTGGTGAATCCAGTGCTTTGGCACTCGGGCTCCTTTAGAAATCTAATGGGCAGATAGGAGATCTCTATCTCCTACCTCCTATCACAGAAAAGTCATCAATTTCCAGTCCTCTTCCTTCCAAGGAAACTAAACCAAGGGTCTCTCCAGGAACCAGGAACTGTCTCCTTACTCCCATAATAATACTGGCCTGCCACCCACCCTGGCCTCCGAGGGGGTGTGAGTTTCCAGGGGTTCCAGGCACTCACCCAGAGCTCATGTTTCTTTTTGGAATGAGTTTGTTTTTCTCAGATTAGACCTAGTATGAATGAGATTGGATCTTGGCATCCAAGATTTTTCCTTTTATACCTATTTTTTTCCCTTGCCACCAACACTTCTGACACCTCATCCATCACACAAGACATTTTCCATTCCCCCATTTGTATTTGGGGATCTTAGGATGCTTTTAGAAAGACATTCAGCGTGGGAACAGTGTGCCTTCGTCATGCAGTACCCACACAGCATTCTCATCCTCAAAATGCCAGCCCACAGCACACACACACACAATTTAATCTGGATTTACCCTTTCTATGGAAACGACAATACACTTTTTGAAAAACTGTTGCAACAACTCACTGGCAAATATCTCAATAATCTGTTTGCAAATTAAGCCCCCATCGGGAAGCACCTTTAGATGAAGCCAGTTTCCAGATTCCTCCACCAAGGGAACACAAACTAAACAGCTCTCCTTGGCTCTGGAATGTAAAGAGTTTTCAGGATGACTCACCCACATGCAACCAGAAGATGAGAAGCACAGCAAAGTTCAGAGGCAAGACAGGTATCATCTTCACCAGGACAAGGCAGAAAAGATGACCATTGGGAGTTTGATGGTTTTCCAGCTAGCTATATGGAGCCAGAACAGTCCAGGGAAGTCTAAGCTTAGCCACGCTTTTGTCTAAAGTTTTATTTAACGTTTTGGTTCAGGAAACACGCATATCCTTTAACCGGCTGACTCACCGCCCCACCCAAGCACTTCCTCCCTTCGAAACAAAAATATGGCTCTGAGGAAATAGCTCTGAGGAATATAAAACTGAGTGTAGGGATAAGTGTTCAATGGCCAATATAGTTCCTTGAGTTTCAGAACAGGTCTGGGGGAGCTCTGGCCCGCCAACTACTGCTTCTGCTGTTAGACTCTATCTCCCATCAGCCCCAGGCAAGACGGCCAGTGGTCAACAATGATGAGAACAGCAGGCCAGAGACTTCCGGGGTGGCGCCATCAGTAATGGCGGATTCCCTCTGATCCGGAGGGACTGGCGCCACGGAAAACGGGTCTGTTCTGCTACGGCGAAGCGGGGACCCTTTAAAAAATCACAGGCGGATGAAGCCTGTGACCATGGGACTCGGCGGGCACCTTTCGCGCGCCCCCCCAATTCGTAAAGGAACCCAATTACGGGCTCCGGAGCAAAGAGGGGCTAGTGGCGCGGTGCTGAGAGTCAACTGCTTCTTCCGTGGAGCGAAGCCGCATAGCCATTGCCGGAGAGCGCTACCTCTTTCCTGGGACAATTTGGCTACAAAAACAACTACCCGTGAGCAGATCAAATTTGGACAATTGGACTTTAAACAACGATCTGTGAGTAGAACGGAAAATTGGATCAAGAAATCTTTCTTAATTTGGCACTGAAGCGGGAAGGTCTAAACAGGAAGTCAGCCTTCTGTTTCTTGTAGATAGATTAAAGCAAAGACATGGCAAACTAGAGTGTAGAAAATCGTTTGTAAAGGATCAACTTTCATCATCTAAAATTACTGAACCCCCTTCGGAAGCAGGAGAAGAGGGGGGATTTTTTCCGGATTGCTTAAACCTGCAGAAGAGAGTGTAAAGAAAAGTAATTTTCCACCGTCTTGATCCTGGGAGCGGGGTGTCAGGACAGACGTTTTTGGGAAGTTCATTGACTATAGACAAATGTTTTTGACAGATAGTTAAAAGAAGAGAAACATAGTGATTCCATTGTCCTCTTTCGCATTTTAAGGGAACAAATATTGACAAAATATCTTAAAAAGGAAACTTTGTTGTTAGATCTGCTGTTAAAAAAAAGAGAGAGAGAAAAGAGTTGGATACAAATAGAAGTTCTTCCCCTAGAGGGAGCTTGTGAAACTGTTATTAAATTTGAACTGGGGAGCCTCGCAGCTGCAACAGATTAAGATCGTGGGAACAGACTTCTGACCTTGTATAACAATGTACTCAGAGGCTCTGGTGCGTGCTTTCTGTAAGACAAGTGCTTTATTGGAACAGTTACATGAGAAGACGGATTTGATGACTGTTGCGATTAGAAACTTTGGACAGGTAGTGGGTATCTATATAGAACCCACTCAGGAATCAATTCAGGAGTGTGCTCTGACAGATCAGATGAAGGAGGAGGTTGTGGCTGGACCCCGGGAGGCAGAGATGGAGGGAACCGTGGCCCAGCAGGAACATGAGTTGTTGGATCTGACGAATGAACCTGGAAAAAGCCAGATTTGGAGAGATAGTGTCTTGTTTGGTTTGGAGATGGGGGGCTGGATAGACCCCCCCATGCAGGGATGTTTTGACTTTTCAAGTCTGGCGTTGGGCCGGGAGGAGTTTGGAGTTGTGGGGGTCCTCAATTTTGGAGGCACCTTGAAACATGCTTTTAAATACCACATGGAGTTCAGTGTGGACTATGGAAAAGGGGCTGATCTGTCGAGAAGGGACAAAAATACTGTCAAGCTGGAGTCTCCACGAGTGAAAGGAGCAGAAGACAAAGTAAAGTACAGGTATAAATATGAAGAAGATCTGCGGAAGGGACATGGAAGAGACTTAAGGGCCTCGGACATAAGGTTACCAGGTTAATGAACTAGATGGATGGGATAGAAAGGACTGACAAAACCCGAGACCAGGAGGAAGAGACGTTGGATGAAGACTGGAGAAAGCTTCAAAAATTCTATTTAGGAATGTTTTCTAAAATTAATGAGTATTAGAAAAATGTTGGAACGAAATTATTTGGCTTTAGCAGAAATGTTAAAAAGAACTATGTAAGAATATGTTATGGTTATGAGAAATTGGTATAGATAAGACTTAAGTTTTAAGTTTTAGGGTTTTTTATAGTAAGATAAGGTTAAAATAGATTAAGGTAATTCAATGACAGAATATTATGAAAAATGGGAAGGATTTGCTGTGATAATCAATAACTAGAATACAAAAAGGGAGGGGTGAGGAGGTCGATGAAATAAGGTAATGACAGTTAAGGATTTGGGAATATTGGATCTGTTTTTAAACTTTTGTGGTTTATTTTTGTTTTTTGATTTTGATGTGTTATGTGTTTTATTTTTGCTTTTTGCTTTTGATTTTTATCAATTTGTATTGTATGATTGTTGTTTGTTTTTCCCTTGTTTTTTTTCTTCTTTTTCTCTTTGTTTTTTCTGTAACCTTAAAATTCTTAATAAATATCATTAAAAAAAAAAGAGAGAACAGCAGTCTGGTAACATCTGGAGGACCACAGGCTCCCCCATCCCTGCTTTGAAAATCACTCAGAAGATGTGATCCTACCAGATGCAGTTTTGACAAGGCATGTGTGCATATTGAGAATTACATTTTCCTCACCTCTGTAGCCACACATACACACACTTCTGTTTTTCTAATTTCAGCCTGTCAGCTCAAATAAACTTGCAAAGCATGTCCGTGAGATGGGGTCCTTCACTGCAGCAGTGACCTAGGCAAGCGGAAGTCAGATCATCATACTACAAACAGCTTCCACACTGTTTCCAAATGTGCTCCCACTGCCAAACAGTCCTCTAGCTGCATGGAAGTGGTTTTGCAATGACAACATCAGGGTCAGGCCATGGAGAAAGGACTTCCAGTTCAAACGTCACTAGTTCTCACTCTATACTACAGGAGCAAACTAATCAAAACCCACAGGAAGTGTGAAAACTTACAATATATTAAACCCAAGTTGCATCTGCTTGATCTTTTTCATGCGTCTGTAGGGCAACTGCTGATGGGAATCTGGAGTGGGGAGAATAGTGTTGCCATCATGCTTCTAGACTTCTGAGAGGCATCAGGCTGGTCACAGTGAGAGGAGGATGCTGGACTGCTTGTGAGCCCATGAGCTAACCCCCCGGCTCAGGAGCCAGCCCGTAAATAAGGAGACACAACAACAGATGTATGGGATTAAATGAGGCCACAATTTCATTGACTTCAGATGTAGGAATCCTTGGCTTAGGCACTGGACGGCATCCCTCTCAGCCCCGTGGGTCTGAGGATGCGCAGCGCAAACAGGTGTTATGAGGGGGACTGCAAAATGAGAATTTTCATAGCGTACCCCCCACTTCACCCGATGTAGGGACTTTAACCTTACACCGCCACTCTGGGCCAGTGACTCCTGCAATCAAACCTTTAACAGGCCCTGCAAATGTCGCTGCATGGGGGTGCATTAACAATGCTACCCCCCATTCCGAAGATAGACTATAGGATTCCGCCCAGGACCTAAAAACCACCAAAAAACTGACAATTGCTATGGGGAAGGCAAAACCTGCCGAGCAGGGAAAATTCCTTCCTGGCTCTGGGACACAGAAACCATCATGTGATCATAGCAACACCCGCGGACCTAGGAAGGAAAAGCTTAGCCTGTAAGAAAACCACATGGCAGTTAGAGGGAGGGATGGGTGAGTGATGCTCCAGAGACCAAATGGAAAGGTGGTCAGCTGGAGGCCCGCACTACCTGGTCTTTGCTCCACCCCCCAGCCATCAGCTGATTGGGTAGCCAGGGAGTGGGGGGGAGCAAGAGCCAGCAACAAAAGGGGGTGTCACCCTGGCACAGGAAGCCTGCACAGGATCACAAACCCCACCCACTGCTTTGATGAGTGAGCAGTAATTATCAGCACAGCAAAAAATCATTGAAATAAATCTGTTGCTCTTCCAGTCTACAGCTCTGATACTGTACAAGCACACAAAATATTGACTGTACTGATAAAAGTTTTCAGATCAACTTACCGAAAACAAAAATATGCTTCTTATAAAATAACTAGCACAGTTGCCACTTTTTATTCTAGCTCTGCCCCAATGTTCTTAACACAACCCTGAAACAAAACAAACTATAGGAAATGAAGCTTTTCCTGACCTGGCAGGTGAAAATAAGGGAGCAGTTTCAGCTCCTTAATCTCTGTGTCTCAGGATGGAATCAGGATGCTGGAATAAAACCTGTCAGCCATAATACGCTGCTAGTACAGGCTGTCTCTGTGGACTTTGGGAAGGGTTTTTTCTTTCCCAACTGCCGTGAATCTTGGAAGTCTTTGCAGGCACTCTGTGTGCTTTTCAAAGGCAGACTTGCAAAAGTTGTGATCTCTCACGCCCAACACAGCACACCTACAAGGTAGGCCTACAAGGACTCAATGGGCCTCCTAGTTTTGCTGCCTTCCTAGAACTGGAAAAATGGGAGTAGGGAGTTGGGTCAGCTGCCAGGTCACAATTCATGGCGAATGAGCTGTATTCAGCCAGGTGGTGCATAAAACATCTACACCTGTTTTCATCTGAACCATAAAGTTCCCAAACCCCAAAGCTGATATTCTCAGATTCTAAATTCTGCACAATATTCCTTGGCACACCCAGGTGGGGAAAAGCCATTTGGCAGAAGGGTAAATGAAACTTTTATTTCAATTACTCAGAAGTCTCTGGGTGTTATGTACTGAAGTTCTCACCCTGGGCCAGCAGGGGGATACTGTAGATAGTTATGCAAATGAAGGATCGAAAGTGACGTTCAGTGATTGGATAGTTTGTATGCAAATGAAGGATCGAAAGTGACGTTCAGTGATTGGCTAGTTGCAGAAAATGGTTACTGTTGCATTCTAGTGGAGCTCTATATAAGCAGGCTGACTGAGCTCCTCAGTTCAGTTCTGTTCCAGCTTACAAATAAAGAACTGCTTTGGAAGAATCGCTGTGTCGT